AGAAAAATTCACTAGAGAGAGATATGCTTATTTTAAGTTTACGAAATTACGTCGCTAACAAATGATTTTGCCCATATATTTGATGTATTAGAGACTTTTAATATGAGTATCTCAAATTGAAATATTAAAAAATTCAATAAAATTGTAATTATTTTGGAAATATAGCGTATAATAGAGATAAACTCTTAGAAGCTTTTACTAGTTACGTCATAGCCTACTTATAGTCAATATATCAGTTTTATTGACAAATTGCATTTGGGAACCTTCCTTCATAAGAAAAATTAAATTCTTTGATTCTAAATGATTTTATTCTGAAGTTATGAACTTGACTAGCATCACTAGGAGATGAAATCTGAATGTCTTGTAGAATATATGTGTTCACTTTATATCATTTTATAGTTGTAGAATGATGTCACTCTTCGAATCGATATGATTAGAACTTTCTTCGCAGATAAATCTTTGATGAGATGCTATCATCGAAGTAATAAATCACTTTTAAGATGAATCTGACGTATTATTAGGTTAGTCATAATGATATTAGAGAAAAAAACATAAAGGGATTTGTGCTTATCAAACTTTCCATAGATAGATGTGATGACTTTTAGAATATTTTGAAAGTTTCACTCAGAAAAAAAAAAATTTTTTTGTGATCGGCTCTAAACGTCCATGGAGACGAATTCTTATAGACTTTTTCTAGTCTTACCCAAAACGTTCATTTGATGATAAGAAATCTAAAATCTCAGCAATTTTAACATGAACTTAGAAATCTTCACAAAACTGATTTCGTGTATTAATGATTTCGATTGATTAAGTATATTTTTTCAAATACAAAATTTCCTACATGATTAAATTGATTTATATTCATTAGTATTTTTCTTCACAATCAATTTCATATATTTTATTAAATAGATTTTCCTCAAGCAAGAAAATTTCATTCAATATTTCCTTTTCGTAATAATCAAATAATTATGTTTGGTGGTGCTTATTTTGATCAAACAACAGGTTATCATGTTACAACAGATGGACATTTATGGATATTTGATTTTAAAAAATTAGAATGGTCTATGTTACAATCATTATCTATGTTAAAATCGACTTATTTTCATGCTGCTGATATGAATGAAGTAATATTCTTTTCTAATTGTTAAAATAAAAATTTTTATTTTTATATTTTAGCGTGGTGAAATATGGTCACATGGAGGTGTTATACAAGATTCAATCGGAAATACTAATAATGAAGCACGAGTAACAACATTGTATAAAATGCATAGTCGTGTACTTAATCTAAGTGAAATAGCTTGGAATTATTTTTTAAATTGTCTTTCTGATCGAACTAGTCTTGTAAAACAACCACAACTTATGTCACAACATCACATTCCAGCACGATTTATTGAACGAATTCATTAAAAAACAAAAACAAAAAGAAAATTGACTATTTGCATATAGATATTTTCATGTTGCTTGCTACATATAAATGTATACCGCTGTGAAAAATTTATACAAAAAATCAACAGTAAAATTTATGATAAACTTACTGATTGAATATATAAGTAATTTTTATTATATTCAAGATTTGTTGAAAAATAAATATTGGAAGTTGTTTGTCGACAGTATTAAATATATTTGTATTCAATCGAATGAAAATTATAATTTAAAACAAAATATAACTTTTTATTTCATATTGAGGAAGTTATGAGTCCTTCATAAGTCGAATTTTCATCCAGATCTAGATTCTCAGAAAATGTGGAAGTCTACGTCTCTGCTTATATTATATCATTAATATAAATATAGCAAACACTATTCCATATTCTTGAAAAATTTTCGTATTACTGCCGGTTTGACGAATTTTGTTTATCAATTAATTGTTCAATGGCTTTTTTTATTAACATTATGCTCTTTTCAACTAGGTAAAAACTTTTGATTTATTAAGCATCAAGTATTGAGAAAGTGAACAACAAGAAATAACTGTGTGTTGACTATTTTTTATGAGAGTAGCCTAAAACTTGGATCTTTTACCTGTTCACGTACATAAAGAGTGTCAGATATTGGTAGAAAAAAAAAACTTGGATCTGGATCTACAAAAAACATAAACCCGCAGCTTCCTCCCTTCATGCCTTCTAATAAAGGACTATATCCAAGAGTTAGATGTTGCACGACTTCATAGTATGATTACAAGTAAATCCGTGTAAGACTAATTAAATTTTTAAAAGAATTCGATTGTCCTGATTCACTGATAAAATTTAATTGCGAGCAAGACATTCTCGAAAAATTCAATATTAAAGAATTTCGAGCTGAAAATATTGTCTATAGGCATGTTTGATAATCATTAAATAATCCCAAAAGTTTTAGCACAAATGAATATGTTTCTCTTGAGGATACAGTAATTAGGTTTATTTAGAAAATGAATATTTCAATAAAGATATGTTCGTTTTTGTTTGAAATTTTCATTACCAAAATTTCATTTAAACGATCATATAATACTTCATTATTAGATCATAGACAAGAATTTGATTAAACTTTTCTTGATCTCACAAAGATCTACTCATAGACATAATACGAAATGAAATATATTCCTTCATAAATGATGTTGAATTAATAGTTAAATCAAAATCTAGAAGCTTCCGATTGACAATAATCATCGTTATATTTATCAATTAAATACCTATAACTGTTTGTTAATTACATCTCTAAAAGTATTGATGTAATTTGTTTTTTTTTCTCGTTATGTACAAGGACAATATGCATGACACTGTCAAATATTCTATTTTCTTCTCAGCTAGAAAATTCATAATTATATAAAAGTATATATTTAAATTATTTCGAAGTATCTTGACCTTCTCATCGACTATTTGCAATTATGTTTGAAATTGAAGCATATTATTTAGTATGATTTTTTTTCTTCTCCGTTCTATTCTAAACAAAAATGAATTACAAAAAAGAAAAACGTTACAATTTCATTGTTAAATATTAATATATAACGAAAATCAATTCCGTACATGTAGTCGACCAATGTGGAACAGTAAGAATATAGTACAACCAAAACTTGGAGCTAATAGACATAGGATAAACAATACAACCACAAATATTGAATGTTCATCAAAAGTACCAACTGTTGTATGATCAATGTTTGTTGTTTCTGTGCTATTCAAGTTTAAAGATGCCATTGTCTGATGTTGATAATGTCAATGTGCAACAAGATAAAAAGAGAACAAAAGAAGCAATTTTGATGGCATGTTACTGTCTTTATACACACACACACATAAGAGTGACAAATCATTTAGTATTTAATTAAACTTCCGCATAAAAAATTGAATTCATGCAGAGCTGAAAAAGTCATAAAAAGCATTATGTTTATCCAAGTAGAATATCTTTATAAGAAAAGAAAATATTTCAAGTCGTAAAACATTCTGCATGATATCTTGTAAAATGTACGTTGATTCTAAAGAGAATGTTAAATTTTACCTGTCTTTTCTCTTAATATTGCACTTTGATACGTTGTATTTAAATAAAAAAACAAAATCTGAATGACTTATAATCTTACAAGTTTATGAAGACTTTCAATATAGATAAATCAATATGTTTGAAAATATCCTTAGATCAATTTATCTAAGCTTTTAAAATCATAAACTGTCATAAATCTATTCATGTCGACAGATGTTATTAAATTATTGACTGCATAAAAAATTTCTTTTTCTTTTATTACATTCAGAAGTTACCAAACATTTAATTAACGTTTCATATTTTTCGTAGAGTTTTTTTTTTTTCTATTATTTCTTCTGTCGTTGACACTAGACTTTAATAGATCTTTTTCTTTTGCATACATAATATATGATGGTGCAACAGCTTGTCATATATCTTTATTGTAACATTTATTCGAAAGTAAAAGCAATCAACGAATACAGAATACTATTAAGCAAAAATAACAATAGAACGCTCGATTTATCATCAGCAAATAATCAAAACCTCATACTAAAACGAAACAATGGCATCATCATGAGTCGGTCGTTTTTTTTTCTGTATAAGAATATAACAATAATAATGATAACTAGCGACATCTATAAAATAAAATAATGCTTTAATATCATGTTCATAAAGTTTATTTCTCGAAATAAAAAAATAAAACTGATAGATTAAAATTATAATATGAAATAAAAGCATTAGAGATGATGATTGCTTCTCGATTGGTTATGGCATGACATCTAGAAAATGATAATGGCCGTTATTGACCCAAATTTTGCGGCTTTCAACCAGTTGTTGAATTCTCATGTTCTGTATATATATATACTCCTTTTTTCTCGCTTAGAGAATTTCCATTTAAAAAGAATTAACCTTTCTATTTAGTTTGTTTTCATAGATTTGTTTTTATCGGAACTTTTTTTTTGTTCTTTGTAACTGATCGAAGTAACGTTAAGTTACAGCATTTTTTTCTTTTTATTTACAAATTCTTAAACAGTTATCATATTTTTGAATTATTTTATTTATCTTTCTGTTTTTAACTATATTTCTATTGATCACAATAGTCTAATAAAGATAATCATATCTTATGTACGTTTGTCTTTAAGAAAATATCAACATTTTTCATGTCTACTCAGTGGCATGTTGATTGATTGATTGATAAATTGGTAAGAAGAAAGAGAGAGAGAGAGAGCAATTGTCGTCACTAATAAATATATCATTTTTGATTTCCTTCTTCAATTTCACAGATCAACCAGACAATCCCTGCTTCTTCTTTTTTCTTTTTTTCGTCTGTTCTTTTTCTAACCATCATCATCGTCAAAAGATAATCGCTTCTCTATGTTCCGTTTATTCTATAGGCAAATGTATACTCGCACGTTCGTTCTTCTTTTCTTCTATTCTCTACTGTTTGTTCACATCGCTGCCGTTGATGACCTCGCCTTGACTGATACTGGATATATATATATATATATGTAAAAAATAGTAATACACATAGTAGTGCCCGGAATACTCTTGTCTGCATGTTTATATTCTATTGATGGTTATAATCATATTGAAATCTCAAGATTTAGAAAGAAATATAGTACTAAGATTCTGTAAAAATCAATAGCATCCCTGTGAGTTCTTTCTCGATTGATTAATAGGACGCCACCGTATGCTATATATCACAATTTATGTATCTTTTTTTTCTACGATATAATGTAACTGAACACTATATATATATATATATGGTGATGACAGACAGATACAAACTGTATGTAATAGGAATCGATTATAACAGCTCATTTTTCATTGTCAGTAAGAGAGACCAGACGGATTGTTTTCTTTTATTTTTAGCAATCGAATCCGACCTCGAGTTTATGAAACAAGAAAACAAATTTAAAAATATTGTCTAATGACATTATTAATTTTTCTATTGTTTTAATCCTTTCATATTTTTACTAAGGTGATAGTTTCCTCTTCAATAAATCATAATGTGCATGAATTAGAATAATGAAGATGTTGATAATATTGATATTGAGATTTAATAGCTTCACACCTTTTCTTGTTTTAAGTTGCCTCTGTATAGTGTATCATTGATGATCATAAAACAAGCAAAAAGAAGAAGAAACTTTTAACAGCAATTTTGTTTTTTTCGTTATCGATTGATCCATATTTCATAAATGAAATGAAAAGTTTCAAATTGTTTGAGCGAATATTTTTTTTTCTTCTTTTAGTTAAAATAATACTTATGTATTTACCTTCCTTTAAAAAAAAATATATATATTTGCCCGTTCGGATTTTTAAAATACTTGCTCAGAAGAGAAACTATTGATCATTATGAATAACCTTTCGTTCGATATAAAATTTCAATAGTTTTGAATCGTAATATGATTTTAATCAATTAAGTTTAAATACGTTATTAATGCACTTTTATACATTATAATTATTGATTAATCAAAGATATTATATATATATTTCTTTACATTTAATTCTAGATAATATGCCAGGTGAAGGTGATAATCAATCTACGTTAAACGGTAAATAAAATATATTATATTCTTATATCACATTGAAATTTAAGCTTAAATAAATACTGAAAGGTAGACAGAATATTGTTACATATTTCTAATATCATTATTAGAATATTACCTATACGAATGATTTCCTTGGCATTGATGCGCATTACATAGAAAAGGTTATAACCTACTCAATAGTCTTCTTTTTATTGAATGAACATTACGAGATTAGCACATGTCCTTTTCAATTGCTATTGTCTTTTGTCGAGTGATATCAAAACACTTTCTTTTTGTTTGGTATGTTTTTAATAGGCCTAAGGGTGTTCAAGCCAAGGAGAATAGAGTAGCGTTCTTGTTCCCGTTTATTATTTCATAGGAAGTAAAGTTTTTGAAAAATTCTTCATATTCTAACTAATATCGAACTATTATACTTATAATCTTGATTACATTGATGAGTTTTATTATCAAAAAGAAAAAGTTCAAATGTTAATTTCTTTAATTATTTTAGAACATTCTTCAAAAATCTTATTAAATTCACCAGAATTTCATAATGAATTAACAAATTTATTAATCAATGAAGGAAATAAAGAATCACTTGAAACTCTTTCAAATTTACTTTTACCAATAACTAAACTTGATGCAACAGCATGTAAAGGTATATTTTGTTTTTATTAAAATTTTTGAATTTTAAAATGCAAAAAACAAAAAAAAACAACATATTTCAGGTCCTGTTTTACCTGTTAATGATATAAGAGGTATTGATAGTCGTACATATGCTAAAAATGAACGTTATTTAAGATGTAAATTAGCTTCACTCTATCGTGTTATTGATCTTTATGGTTGGAATTATGGTACATGCTACAATCATATATCTGTAAGATTCAAATTCGAAAAAAGAAACATTTTAAATCTATACATATATGAATATTTTATTGAAGATTCGTGTTAATAATAGTACAGATCAATTTCTTATTAAACCTATTGGATTAGCGTTTCATGAAGTAACTGGTTCATCTCTTGTTAAAATTGATTCTAATGGTAAGGAAAATACTACAAAACAAAAACAGAATGATAAAATCGTTTTTTTTTTTTTTTTCATTTAGGTTCAATTATTGATCCTGGTAGTACAACATTTGGCATTAATGCACTTAGTTTTTCATTATATTCATTTGTTTATCAACACCGTCCAGATATAAATTGTATAATTCATGTTCAAACACCAGCTGTTACAGCTGTATCTGCTATGAAATGTGGTCTTTTATCACTTAGTCAAGAAGCTCTTATATGTGGTCAAGCATCAACACATTTAATTCAAATTGATTTAACAACAAATCATTTATCTATGGATGAAAATATTCAACAATCAACAGCTAAAGTTCTTATACTTCCTAATTATGGAATTTTAGCATGTGGTACAACAGTAGAAGAAGCATGGCATATAACATTTCATCTTATATTAGCATGTGAATCACAATTACGAGCAGTTTCAATGGGTATTAATAATTTAAATTTATCATCGGATGCATCAGCAAAACAAGTAAATATTATTTTTGTTGTTTTAATTTAATAGAAGAGAAATAAAAACAAAACAAAACTCTTATGTTTTATTTAGGTTACAGATACAGTTAATCGAGGTGGTGGTGGAGTCAATACATCAGATACTAAATGGGCTGTTGGTGAACTTGAATGGTCAACATTAATGATTGTTTTAGATAGAGCTGTATGTTTATCTATTCAAAGAATTGTTTATTATTAAGATGAAATATACTTTCGTGATTGAGAAGATATCTATGACTTTTCTATTAATCTTTAAATCTATTACAGTATTTAATAGAAATAATTTCGATAAGAATAAGAACTCATACTTGAAATATGTTATAGATTATCGAAAAATAAGTTCCGAATAGGCATAAATCTATAGGGTTGAAAAATGACTGTTATAGAGATTCACAATGTAAGAAGTATAGTTTTTTATTCGCAGGGTGTACGTCTAAAATTGATAGTTATTTTTCATACATATAAAATAAGCGACAAAATGTTCATAATAATAGAAGTCTTATGAGAAGATCAATTATTATATTCAATTGACTTTTAACGAATTTAAAATAATGTTGTTTTTATGATCTGCATTCTACGGCAATCTCGAAATGTTTTCTTTCCGGCAGCATTTTCTTTGAGCTCTTAGCAATCAAAAACAAATTAAAAGCATACTGATATTAGATATAAATCTTGTTCTAATCCTTACGTCTTTACACTCACATCATCAGTTCATATAATAGCTCGCAAACAAATATTGTGAGAGTCACAATCTTTTTACTGTCTCTTTTTTATAAAGTCTAAATTCTATATTTATATGCCTCGGATAATCCTGAATATTTTTGATTATTTGCGTGAACGATATAATCAATATCTTTATTGAAATTATTCTTTAAGAAGCATATAATTGATTAAATTTTGCTAAAGGCTACAACATGATTCTGACTACAGAACGATATATATATAGGAAGGCTTTTTCTCTCTAATGGCATATTTACTATCAAATTCTGTTACACAGCATGAAAGAAAATGCGAACACTCCTATACCAAAAATCAAACACCATTTAGAGTCAAGGCAAAATCTAATCAATGATATATATATATATGTAACAGAATATGCTGAAAGAAATCTTTCATTGCAAACCTCTGTTCTATAGTCAAAAGTCACTATGAAAATTACAGTCCTGGACAAAAATAACTGCCTCCTATGAAATGCTACTATTTTTTACGGTATTATGCTGATTTTTGAATACATGCATGCAACAATAAACCCTAATCTATAGCATGAAACCAATCTCTACTACACATGTACTAGAGTACTGATTGAAACATTATCATCCTCTTAGGATTATCTTATCTCAACCATATTTACACAATTTTTTTCGCTAAACTACTCATTCGAAAGAACAATGTCGTAGTTATCTTTCTAGTCCGAATTTCGTTAGAAATCATTTTAAAAGAACTGCGATATCGCCTTCTCATTAAGAATATCTGTTGAAAATAGAGCCCGTTCGACAGCACTTTGATACTAAATAAAAATTTTCTATTCGAAACTGAATAGTTCTTTTAAAGACACAGCTGGACACAAGACAATTTTTTCCTGTCTTGTCCTGCTACCTTACTTCATCCTAACGACTAGAATTCATCAGATCCAAACTCAACCGAGTTCAGGTCTTGAATCAATCCGACAAACTCTAATTGACGATTAAATGTTGATTTTTTAGTAAGATGAATTTCATCTATTCATTTGAAAAATTTCTATGAAACAGCAAATCTGTTCGAAAATTTTTAAATGACGTCGAGTTAGCGCTACAGCATATGTTCACTATCTCACAGTGTGTTACTTACTAAGATTTTGACAATATATCACGAACTTTAGTCAGACACATATGGAATTATCTTTAGAACTAGAAAAAAATTAAACAAAAAGTTATTGTGCATATTTTCGTTGAATATGTTTTTTTTTTTTGTCTAATAGTAGCACTTTGTGAGTGGAGACAAAATTTTGTTGATGATTGTATTATAAAACAAAAGGCAATTTTCAATAATTTTTTTTTTTATTTCAGGGCTATCATACTGGTTATATTTATCGTGAACCATTGATTCGGTTTATTGACAAACATTAATAAGAATTTAATTAATCTTATATTTTCCCTTGTCGTTCTTTTTTGCTTGTGGTTGTTTGGTTTATTTTCTGTTCTTTTTTTTTTTTTTGTTTTTTGATATGTTTATCTCTCTAATTAATAACTTGCTTTGTCATGAAATGCACAAAGTCTTTCGACTTTATATTTATATGCTAAACCCTTTCACATAACCTGTTTGATGAAAAAAGCACCAAGAAAAAAAAAATATATATAGGTTTATATATTTTTAGATAATTCTCTTCTTGAAAAAACAATAGAAAAAAACAAGCATGCCAACAAAAACCAATGGTACACATATTGAATCACCAGTAAAAAATCAATCATATCATCAAGATGATAATGATGATGATCAATATCGTCGTGAACTTGAACGACCAGCTGATGTTATTGAAGATATGCGTCAAATGGGACAACGACAACGTGTTAAAACAATATTAAATTCAAAAGAATTTCGTGATGAACTTGAAGCTATTATTAATGATGCATTAAAACATGGACCACATCCAGCATCGTTAATTGCTTTACAACAAATATCGGAATTATTATTACCACATACATCACGTTGGACAACTGTCTCGTCATTATCACGTGCTGGTGGTTCAGTTATTGTACCAATTAATGATATACGTGGTGTTGATTCACAAGGTTATTCAAAAAGTGAACGTTTACTTCGATGTAAATTATCATCACTTTATCGTCTTGTGGATTTATTTGGATGGTCACAAGGCATTTATAATCATATTACGGTTCGTTGTTGGTTTTTTTTTCTGATGAATAGAAATCAGAGATGTCCATGGTGATGCTTCTGCAAAAGTTTCTTGTTTTAGAGAGATTGTAAAATTGCATGATGTGTTGCACCCTGATTTGAGTGTCTACAAGTTCAACAGTCAGAATCGCAGTGGCAGCAAATTCTTATATAGTTGATTGTGTCGCACCATCGCAGCAGTAGTCTTGTCTCTTATAAGATCGTGGTGTGGCAGTTTTGGCTCTTCTAGGACGACAGCGATCGATTTATATCTGTAATAGAAATCGATTATTTTAGGTAGAATTAGTGAAATGATAGTCGAATTCATCCTATCAGGATTGGCAGGTAATGCTTTAAAAACTGTTTTGCTATTTCGCATAAAACATTAACAGATTATTTGTAGTCATTTACAATAGATGAAGGTTTGTATTGAGTTTGAATAAAAAAAATTTTATATAATACGAAATAAATCTTATGAAGATTGAATAAAATTGTAGACAGTAGAAAACGAATGTCAAAGCTCATTGTAAAACTCTTGTATAATGATCTTATAAAATTTTTTTTTATAGATTATGATTTATTTAATATAACGAATATGCCATAATGAATGGTCGCTTTCTGCAAGTCGTCTTTTAATCACATTCTATTAAAAACCAAAACTCAGCTTGATTAATTTTTCATGCTGCGACTAGAATCATTTTTTGTTTGTTAAGTGATCAATATATTTTTTATTTTATTTCATTGATTGAAGAAAATTCTATGTACTGATGAATAATACGTTTTATTAGAACGTGTTTATGGTCTTAGTAGACAGGAAACATAAATTAAAAGGTTAATGCATGTTGTGCATTTTTTTTCTTCTTCGCACTACCACCGATTGATTGTCGGTATACTGTCTGCTGTACCAATGATTTTGCGTCCAGTTTAAGTCACATGGGAGATTTCCAATAGCGCGATTAAGTTCTTCTAAAAATACTCTCACGTCTCAAATTAATTATATTCAAATCTGATGAAACATGATCCCATGAGGATAATATTGAAGTTTTTCATTGACTTTTCCAATCTAATTGCGTGATACAGAGACTTTCTCATGCATTTTATAGATCATTAACAAATAATTCTGATCTCAATGTCTTTTGGATTTTTATGTATGAGACGCGATCGTTAATAATACACAATAGGATGAATTCATCTTCGTCATTATATATAAAATAAGCTTTTGTTTAAAAATTAATGATATTAAATAAAAATTCTGATTTATAAAAAAAACAATATTCTATTAAAATATTTTCTAAATACAATAAAATCATATCAAATGTCAAGGATTTAAATTTTTGTTTTCTTTTTTTAGGCTCGTGTTAATCAAGAACTTGAACATTTTTTAATTAATCCATTTGGTTTAATGTATCATGAAGTAACAGGTTCAAGTTTAGTTAAAGTTGATATCGCCGGTATATAAAATTACTAATTGAAAAAAAAAAAAAATTTTTTTCTCATCGGAGTTTTCTTTTAATTCATAGGTAATATTATTGATCCAGGTAGTACAACATATGGAATAAATCGTGCTGGTTATACACTTCATTCAGCTATACATAAAGCACGACCGGATCTTAAATGTATTATACATTTACATACACCGGCTGTTGCTGCTGTATCATCAATGAAATGTGGTCTTTTACCATTATCACAAGATGCATTATTTTGTGGAAAAATATCTTATCATGATTATCGTGGAATATTAATTGAAGATGATGTTAAAAAACTTCTTGTCGAAGATTTAGGTCCAATAAATAAAGTAATGATATTACGTAATCATGGTTTTGTTGCATGTGGTGAAACAATTGAAGAAGCATGGAAATATGCATTTAATGTAATTAATGCTTGTGAAGTACAAGTACGTGCAGCACCTATTGGTATTGATCAATTATATTTACCATCAAGTGAACAACAAAAACGAGTAAAAAATATCAAATTTTTAAAAAATAAACAAAATGAATGAATGTTTTTTGTTTTTGTTTTCTTCGAGGTTGCTGATGTACTTCATGGAAATTTAAATGAAGCAACAGGCGATAAAAAATGGAAAATAGGTGAACTTGAATTTGAAAGTTTAATGCGTATTTTGGATAATGCTGGTTTTCGTACTGGTTATGTTTATCGTCAACCATTAATACGTACAATTGATAAGATAACTACATTTAAAGATGTTGAAGTTCCACCAGCTGCTTCATCAGCTACATCATTTATTGAACAAACATATCCTGAAGCTTAGTAAGTTATTTATTGGAAAATTTTATTTTCTATTTTAACAATATTATATCATTTAAGTTCACCAACACGTCAAGCTCAACGAACAACAGAATGGCGTAATTCACCAAATGCTTATTTAAAACAAGAAATTGAAGAAACAGGAACACCGAATCCAAAAAAAGTTACCAAGGTAAATTATATAGAATGTAAATCAATTATAACCTTATGTTACATGTTTGTTCATACTAATAAATCAATAGTAGATTACCAGTTAGAGAAGTCGTTGGGTTAGTTTCAGAATTCACCAAAACTGTTTGAATGAGAGTCTGCGGAAAATCAAGATCCATAAAATCAGAGTTCTAGTCTCCATTCGAAGCCTTTGGGAAAGGCTTTATTTGATAGAACATGGTTAATACGTCTCTATGATCTTCGTTCATCGAACTGCATGCAATTCACAGAAAGCCAAAGAAGCATTTTTCTCTCCTTTCCAAAAGCTTTCATGTCTTGGTTTTCCGAAGATCCTTATCCAAGTAGTTTTTGTTGAGTATAGGTTATTCCTTGAGCTTTCCTTAAAGTATTTTAGTATCACCGGCACTCTTTTTTTATCTATCCTAAGCTGAACACTTTGCTATTTCATACTGAACCAGATAGGATGTTAGTATAGCAAAAGAATTCAGCCCTGTACATATTATTTAGAATCTTCTAGGTAAGGTTAATACATTCATCTCATAGCTATTAATGCATAAGATTTGTGTTCTTGTCAAATAAAATATCCTTGTACTTTCACGATGACATGACATTTAAGATTATCAATATATAAAGATTATTTTATTTAAAAATCTTATTAAAAAAAATCAAAGTAGACAGTAGTGTCACTTCAGTCTATGTAGTTCTACTACGTTTTGACGCAACTAGTCGTTTGATTTCTAAATCTTTTTTTGTTAAAGATTTTAAATTTAGTAAGTTTTTTACATGGATAATCTGTTGAGACTTGACTGTTGATGTACCGATTTTCATGCTCCTCTCTGTTGATTGCAATTCGAATAGAAACCACTTAACTTACCGTAGAAGATATTAGAAATCCACAGTGATGCCCTGAAGAAATTCTAACGAGGAAAAGTTGCCCCCATGTGATTCACCAATCGAGATTGTCTTCCACTCATATGTGGGACTTAGTGAAAATAGAAGAACTATAAACGAATTCGTCTTCGTATGAAATCTTTCTGAAACTATGGCTATTTTACTGGTTTTTCAACATGTAGTCCAGTATTAGCACAAAAATCAAATGAAAGAATATTGATTCGAAACTGTATCTCTAAATAGGTTTCAAAGCCAATAAACCATTCTGAAAGTTTTAACCGAAACGAATAATTACTTCGACATATATTGAATGAAGAAAGAAATGCAAACAAATCAAATTCAATATCTTTTACAAGAAGTCATCTCTTTTGTTTAAAATTTTCAGAACGATTCATTGACTGTAAAACGTGTTTATACACAAAGTTTTGAATCAATATTTTTTCATTCGATTTTTTTTGGCTAATACAGAGCCACAGATCGAAAAATCAGTAACATATCTATAACTTCTGAAGAATTCCGTATAAAAACTAATTCTATTACAATTCTTCCAATATCCTTACATATGATTGAAAGATATGCTCGGTTAACGAGTCTCATTTGCGGATCTTCCTTCTTTATATGACATAACACATTAGTACATCAATCAAGTATTTTAAACAAACTGTGAATACATTTGATGAAAAAGATAACTGTAACGCTTTGACTACAGAACAGAATATATGTCAGTTTGTAGAGAAAAATCTCTTCTATCTAATGGCGTTTGTATTATCAGGCTCAACTGTGGGTATCATTGATATGTCCATAGGTGACGCTACGTATTGACATAGCAATCGTACACAACAAAACTTGTTATAGGATAGATATATCATTTTTGAAATACATAATTCTTTTTTTTTGTTTTTCTTTAGTGGGTACCAGATACAGGTTTAAAACATTCAACACCAATTAAAATTGATACAAAACATCAATTTGCACCAAGTAATATAGATTCTAAAGAACTTAAAAATCATCAAAAACAAATAAAAGAAGATCGTTTTAATGAAAAAGTTTCAGCTGGTTATCAATCAAAAATTCTTGAGAATGCTTCTTGGGAAGATGCATCACAAATGAAAGTAAACAATTTGATTTATATTTAATTAAAAGAAAATTAAAAAATTTCATTCATTTTCTAAGGAACCACATCAACTACCATCAGAAGCAATTGTTACTGTTGGTGCTGCATCAAAAGGTATTATTAAACGTGATCAACAAAATAATGCTATTGTTTATAAAACATATTATGCTCAAAATCCATTTGCTCATATTGATAAAGATGAAATTGAAAAATATAAACGAGAAGTTGAACAAAATCAAATGCGTGAACAAGGTTTGTTTGTTTATTATTATTATTTTTTATTTTCCAAATTTATTATTATATTTATTTTCAATTAAATATTTTCTTCATTCAGCATTGAAGAAAAATGCTCTACTTGATGAAATTCGAAAGGGTATATCATAATGCTTAAATTGATTCATTTTGACACATCGTTTCATGTCTTTCTTTTTTTTTCTTTTTTTTATGTTCCTTAGGGAGCAAAATTTTACAAACAAAATCTACTAATATAAATAGGGCTGGTGTGCGGCAGACTTCTTTTTTTATTGCTTGAAATTAATAAGCATGTTTTCTTTTCTTTTATTCTTACCTGCTTATAAATAAGGATTGAAGAAAACTAATCTCTCATATGACAGTGAGAAGTTTCATATCAAAATAATTGATAATAATAAATCGAAAAAGAGTTTTTATCAACTTTGAGAAAATATTACTCGATAAAAACTCAATCTTAAAAATGTCTATTAAGTTAAAATTAAGATCATGTCTACCTTAGAAAATAAACAAAATATTGTGTTTTTTTTTGTTTTATGAACAACTAGATAGGAGTTACATTCTAGTATTATTCTTTTTTTTATATAGTTTTGTTTTTAAATTTTATTTCACGTGTGTTTAGAAAAGTACACTGTATCGTTATTCATTAATATTGATAATATTAGTTTGATTGATGCATTAAAACTAATACGTTTCTCGACAATAAATAGAATTTTCTAGTGTGAACAAGGCCTAAACATCATATAAGACTTACGAGAGAACAATCTTAGATGTCGATGGGCTTCTGAGTCGAGACTCAGTGAACTATGTTTACTGCAGCAAGTGTTTGTACTACCTGGGCTTGGATTCGACCGGGTGTGGGTTTTCGTGGACTTCAATTTGCATAATAAAACATCAAAGTTCTTCCTCTAAATCTCTCCGAGATATAAAGCATCCAGTTGTACTGAGCCATTTCATACAAAACGAGACATAACCACATTTTAATTCTTTGAAAAGATTATTGTTCTGAGTAAGTTCTTATAGCATAGACATATGTGGAAATGTTTGGCTCTTTTAGCTGATAATTAATTAAAAAGTAATTAATGAATATCTCTCTAACTATACAACGAAAAAATTCGAAAACTTCGATATATAAAAACAATTTTTCGTCCTTCATCATGTCGCTAAAGATAACTAAAGCGATTTTTTTTGCAAAAATCTAGGCATGCTCAAAAAAAAAGTTTGGATAGAGATTTTGTAGTCTTAGAACTTGTCTTCATTTAGTTTCAAAACACTATCTCAATTCGAAATTTTTTCTTAATGCATGTTTCAGAGTATCTGAAGTAACTCAACGTATAAAAATCAGCTCGAGAAAAGTTCATTATCTCGAAATACATATATTTTTGCTTTTGCGAAGTTCCGTTGCTATATCTTGAAAGTTCCATTTATGTAAGCTAATCGAATTGAAATCCTTATACCGACGGAGTGTTAGATCGAAATACGAAAGAATGGTCTTGCTGTGACTTTTTTACAGTGAAAAATTCACAAAAAACTACTGTTCGATCTCCTCAGATAGTGCCCATCTGCAAGAGCTTTTTCTAAAGTAGACATAGTTCATCAGTATCCGTCAAAAAAAGAAGTCATTTGGAAAGCAGTCCGTGATCTAATGTTTCATTCGGCACCTCGTCTTTCACCGAAATTTTTTATTATTTTTGTCCTCATCTCTTGCAAAATATTCGATTTTTAAAACATTTTTGTTTGTTTGCAAAAGCATGTCAAGATGCAGAACATGACAGAATCCCTATTTTAAATTAAACTTTCTTAAAAGAAGACTTTTATTATTAGGGAATCATTGTTTGGAACTTTTACGTATTGGAACAAAAAAAATTAAGTCTATAGATCGAAGGCTCATCGAGAATTATGATCCACCAAATGAGCTAATTTTGTCTTTTGTTTATTGAAGATTTCTGCATCATTCTTCCTCTTAATCGTTTTCCTTTATGCGTATATAAATGTATGGATACAAGAAAATTTTGTTGACGTCTGCATCCTTCCTCTGATGAATTATTTTTTCTAAAAATAAAAAAAATGTCAAACCCTATTAATTCACTGAATACCTTTTTTTTTTGTTTTGCTCAATAAGAAATTTCCTAATTAATATCGCATGAATTTATAACCTTGATTTTGCTTAGAAAAATTTATCAAGGTTAAGTTTTTCAAATTATAGTTTCAAACCAACCTATTTTCTTTGTAATATGATCGCATTCTCAATCCTGCATTTATTCTTTTAAAAAGCATGAGCTATGTTTTACTTATAAAACAAAAAAAAAAAAAAAAGAACAAAATGATCAACTAATAGAATTTTTCTTTTTCTAGGAAATGATTCTCAATATGATGATCAAATTGATAGTAGAGGTAAGTATCTATAGAAAAACATCTCTCTCTCTCTCTCTCTCTCGCATATTAATTGATGATTCATTATTACTATGAATCAAATATAAAATAATGACATTTAAAAAAAAAAATATGATTCATTCTGTAGTGCGCCCACCGATTAGAAGATCAGCATATATTTATACCTGTTGTTTTTCTCAGCACCTTTTTTTTTTGCTTTTTTTTCCTTTCGCCTCTTCTTCTTTTTACTCATTCTTGTCTTCACTTCATAAAAAATGTCATTTATATGATCGTCATCTGCTACACATGCATTACTTTTTATGATTCATAATTTTAATATATTTCGTGGAATTTAATAAAGACATCAAGCAAAAAAAGAAAGTCAAAAACAAACACAAGTATACAATATTAAATACAGGTAAGAAGTCTTTCTTTTTTTTTTCTTAACTTTTATTCTTAATATAACGGAAGATATGTGGCCCGTTTAGAAAACAAAAAATTAATAAAAATATTCTTGAGACTTGTTAAGTATTATTGAGTTTTTCCTTTTTATATTTAGTCCGAATACATATATATATATATTTGCAATAAATAAGTTTGGTTTGATCTATTATTTGATCGAAAAACAATTCGAATAATGCCTATGAATATTTTGAGTCCTTCAATCTTTATCATATGACTTCATTAAAAGAAAAAAAGTTCTAACTGTTATGTTTATTCGCCTCGAGTTTTGACATCGCACCGCAATATTTTTTTCTTTTTTTCTTTCTTTAGCATAGTAGCTGGAGAAGAGCTAATCCTGATTGTTCGTTTGTGGTTATGTTAGTTTAGTAAAAAAAAGAGAAAGGAAAAAGAACACAACAAGTTCTCTGATATTAAAAAAAAAAAAAAGGAAAAACAGAGAACAGAATAATGATGACTTGAATATAAATTACATATAATATAAAAACCTTTGAAAACATATACATTAAAACAAAAACAAGATGTCTTTAATAAATATTTTTTTTTATTCAGTTTAAATGCAACGAACACCAATACTTCGAACATCATCATCATCTGATAAGTTAAATGATTCGTCTTCATCTCGAGTTTTGATTCATAGTATTGAACAAACCATTGAACATACATTACCTTTAAACATAATACCAAAATCATCGATAATAACAAATCAACGTACAATTCAAACACAAACAACACAAAATATTCAATCATCATATCCATCAAAATCTATTCCATCGTTTGCTGAAACTCAATTATTATCTGTTTATTATCCATCTAAAAATTCTTCAAATTTATCAAATAATGATAAATGTATATTTTTTGAACAACAAAATCGTCAACCAATACGTTATCGTACAACATATGAACCATTATCATTAACAAAATCAACACAAACATCACCATCATTAATACCATTATCAACACATAGTTCAACATTAATTATTCATGGAAATAATCCTAATTATAAACAACATTTAAAAATTCATTCAGGTAATCAAAATTTATCAAATGATTTTATTAATGAATATTCATCACCAAAAGAACTTATTGAAGATTCAAATTATTCCTATGAAGAATATATTGTAAATTATGATGAAAAACAAAATGAAACATCATCATCATCATCATCATCGGTAACTACTGTTATTGCAAAAAATAATGAACTTAATTCAAATACTATTAATAATCAACGAATATCAAGTTGGCCACCTGTTCCCGATGATATAATACCCATAGATAATCAACATGAAAATGATGAAGAAAAACGTTTATCACGTGTAAAATTTGCTGAAAATTTAACTCATATAATACCATTATCAACAACAAATATCAATGAAAAAACTTCATTATCTGATATTAATTCTCATCATATATCTGAACAATTACAACAATTTGATTATCAGCCAATAAATCAATCAAAATCGATTCAAATTCATATAGATAAATCTGATAATCAAGCAAATATACCAACAACTAGTAATCGTGTTAATACATTACGTACATTATTTGAACAACAAAATAAATCATCATCAATATTAACGAGTCCAATAAAACAAATTGAACCTAAAGAAAATTTATCAAAATATGGTGATGAAATACGTTTTCATACAAAAGATTATAATACATCAACAATTCATCATGCTGAACCAGTTCAAATTATTCAACATAGAATAAATTCTTCTAATTATAATACACAAGATGATCAATCGATAGCACCATTTAAACTTGATCAAATACGACAGATAACTGGTAGATCATTGACAAATCTTAATGATGTTGGACATTATTTACAGGTAAAATCAACATAAAACTATTTTGCAAATCTTAGATGCAGTGAAAAAAAAAACTAAATAACGAATATTACTGAATTTTGTAGATAAATATTAAATTCAAATGTGCATGAACAGAAATTGATTACAGAAAGAAAACTACATTAATTTTGAAGCCTTTTTTTTTTTACATGTTTTTATAGTTTCGAAATAGTTCTCTCTATCGTAAACAATAGTGTTTATGAAAAAGAGGTACAGAAAGTTATGAACTTTACAATGTAATAAGAGCCAATATGATTGTTAATATTATCTGCAAAAGTCTGTCGAAAAGATTATGTTTTACGAGTAAATCGGTTTAAATGATTCGAAGTTTTTGGACTGATCTTTTGTCTATAAATAGGACCTATGAAGACTAGAAAAAGCTTAAAAGAATTAAGGTCTATAGAGTGTTCTTTCCGAGTTATGACAGTTTTATAAAGCTGATCACCTTTAACAATAAATTTATCGAAAAACCGAAGTAAGAAATCTCTATTTGAAATTTTTCTCACATGTACGCCTTATGACTCGTATAAAAAGCTGAGTGTTTCAGACTGAGACAAACGCTTCTTTCTCCAATTATTAAGATTACAAAGAAAGTCGTTGAAAATTCAGTATCTAGAGTAGAGGTCTGCGGTTCCACAAAATCTGGAACCAAGAACCGAACCAGAGCCGTTTCTTTAATATGATCGCTGACGTCAAGCTTTTTTAGCATACAATTTAAAAAGAAATGATGCACAATGCATATCACACACGACCTTATACTGATCTTGAGATGGGAATATGAATCTTCTATTCAGCAGCATGTAAAAGCATGAACAATACCGAATCTACCTTAACCAGATTTCGATAACTAAACGGTTCCATGTAATATTTTTAGAACCGAATCGGAACCGGAACTGCGGTTCCGGTTCCGGGCAATTTTTGGAACCATAGACCTCTAATCTGGAGAAAGAAGCATTCGTCTTGGCTAAAATATTTAGCCCTCTGTAAGGGTTATGAGGTCCATATGTGGGAAAATTTCCGATAACTTTCTTGTCATAGGTGATAGAATTAATAAAATGGTTATAACTAGAGAAGAAGGGTTCATAGACTAGAACTCTCGACGGCTACAAAATTTTCGGACTCAAACACGAGCTCTTATCCTTTTGGACTTTTATATTATCTCATTAGATCTTTTTCATGAGCTTTGAATAAAGCGAAATCGATTTCCTAAATACTTCATAAGTACCAGTCGGCGAGACATTTTTTGTTAAAATAGAACTCATGCCCTATGTAACGATCAACAATTTCTTATCTTTTCACTGACCTATATCGTATTAAATACCTACTGATAAATCATTCCTGCATATTTTGCAAAAACAAAAAAATAACAATGAAGATAACTTTTCACTGTTTTCACAATCTAAATATTTGATTGATTTTGTTGATAAATCAAATGTTAATAACACTATCAAAATTCAACAAATGAACAATTTAAAATTTTGAAATAAATTTTTCTAATAATTATAGGATGGTCATACATGGCAATGGAATGAAATCTTTTGGTTAAGTTTAACTAATACTCAACAAGATCAATTAAAAGATCTTGAATATCAATTACATATGCATCAAAATGATTCAAAATATTTATCATTATCTACTAATGATATGAAAAAATTTCAATCAACAATAAATATAACTGGAGCTGGAGTATGGCAACAACATAAACCAGAAAGATCATCATCAAACTTAACAAAATATAGTGAAATAAATGCAATAGATGAAATAAATCCATCTATTAGTATTATAAGTTCAACACCAAATACAACTGATGTAAAAATTGATTCAAAACAAATATTAACATCAAATAAACGAACTGATAATCAAATAACAATTATTGAAGAATCATTTACAAATCCTATTAATTCAGATAAGACTAATATCGATTTTTATGAACAATTTCAATCTGATCCATTAAGTTATGAACAATTTATATATGATTATTTATCAACATATGCAAAACATATACGTTCAAATGATAATACATTAATTCTTGTTATTAATGAACAACAAATACATATGTCAAATATACATTTACCATCATCAAATGATAATTTTACTTTAACTAAAAATATTTATTCAGATTTTATTGATAAAGATTTATTACCATTTGAAACTGAATCAAATCAATTAGGTATATTTATATATGGAGAAGTAATTATATTACCTATTGAACAATGGTTATTATATCGAAAAAAATATCATAATGCACAATGGATACAGAAACTTAAACGTGTCAATCGACATATACCAACACAATTACTACCAATAATTGAAGAATGGCTTGCTGATCATACAATATTATTATTAGATGAACAAAAACTTAATGTTGATGGATTAATTATTCCACTTAAAGGTAAATCAGGCTTACATATAATAGATTCATATAAAACTCAACACGACGAACAAAATTATTGGAATGAAATATTAAAATATTTAATACATATTGGTCATGTATCATATAATACAAATGAAAAACTTGTTCATATAGCTAATAGTGAACTTGATGTTCAACGTATTTTAGCATCAGAATCATTTTCATCATTGGAACTTATTGAACGTATAGGAAAATATCTTCGTACATTAGATAATGTTCATTTTGAAAATGATTCATTATTTTTAACTGATAATTTTCTTCTACCAAATGAATATATTCATCAACTATTAATTAAATATAAACAAGGTGAAGATTTAAATGCTAATGAATTAGCACGTTTATTATTAGAAATATGTCATATTAATGAGGATAATAATAATCAAATAATAATTTTAACATTTAATAAACAAATATTAGAAATAAAAAATACTGAAAATAATTTAAATAATAATCATATTAATATTTTAATTGAATGGCTTAATAATTTAAAACAAAAAAAATTAATTGAAATAACTGATAACAATGATATTATTATTTATTTTAATGATAAAAATAATTTTAAACAACAATTATTTATTAAACATGAATATATTAATACATATATGAAAACAAATAATAATAATAATAATAAACAAACAAATATTATTAATATAAATGATATAGCTAATATTTTATTTTTATATAATTATGTTCAATATTCATCTGGTCAATTTATATTTCCTATATTAAATATTATATTAGATACAGATGAATTAATTTGGTTACAATCAATTATACATTCTATTCAATCTAATGATCATACACAAGAAAATGATATTGAATTATTTGATGGTCAAAATACACAAACACTTCATATACCATATGAATATATGTCACCAACAAATAATATTAAAACTATAGCTAATTATTTATTTCAACATGGACATATTCGACATGATGTTAATACAGGAAATTATATATATCGTTATATATCATCAGATGAAAATAATCATTCGATCAATGAACATACAAATCAACATCAATTACTTTCATCTCATATTCAACATATACATATTGATAAAAATCATAAACGTATTGAACTTGAATTTGTTCATGATTCAAATCATTATCTTTTATTACCCTCAAATTGGTATCAACAAATATTAGAACATCAATTTAATCGTTCTTATATTATTGATATGGTAATAAGAAATGGTGGTACTTTTGATCGAGATAATTTTATTTTTAATGGTGACTCGTATTTATTAAAACCTTCAAATGACTTAACATTAGATTTACTTTCAAAACAAAAAGAAAATCTTATTGATAATTATGTTGAATATATAAATAATCAAGGTGAAATAAAATATGATAATAAAAATCATTTATTAATATTAGAAAATTTATCTGATGGTTCAAAATTATATTTAACACCTGAACATACACAATTCATACATAAAAATCAATATCGACGAGAAGATATGAAATCTATACTTATAAAATATAGTCAATTAAAACAAGATGAATTTAATAATTGGTTATTATATTATGATAATCAATATATACAAATTCCATCATTAAATATAAATAATAAAAATTATGAACAATATTCTAATAATAAAATAGAATTACTTAATCAATATCATAAAATAATTGATTATATGTATAATCATAATTTAATAACATATAATAAAAATTTAAAAATATTTCAAATAAAATTTTCAAATGAAATTTTAATAATACCATTAAATCAATTACAATCAATAATTAATATGAAAAATTTTCATTTATTAAATAATGATATTTTACCATTTAATAGTTATCAATTATCACAATGGTTATTAAAAAATTCTAGTCAAATAAATTATTATAAAAATAATTCTATTGAAATTATTTATAAAAATAAATTTTATTATTTACCATTAATTTATTTAAATCAACAACAACAACAACAACAACAACAAGAAAATTATCTTGATTCAAAATTAAAATTAATTTTTCCATTTAATAAATCTTTACGTCTTATACAAAAAACACCATCAACAACAACATTAGATATTGAACAACCTTCAATAGAAAATAATTATACCATTGATCCATTATTAATACTTGCAAATTATATACATCGTACTAGTAGAATATATCAAGATGAATTAGGTCGTTTAGTTATTAAATTAAATCATAATGAAATTGTTATACCACATATTGAAGCTGTTAATTCAATTGAAGCTATAAATAGATCTCCACAACGTACTGGTAGTATAATTGCACGTTTAATTGATCGTATTGGAAAAGTTCAATCAAATGGTGCTGGAGGATTAATAATAGCAATTGGAAAAAGTTCATTTGAATTATCAAAAGAAATAATTGATAATTCATATAAAAAGAATTCAAATTTACAAAATTCACATTTAATATCGGATCATTATCGATCTACAAAATCTCCTAACTTACCATTATTAAGACATTCAAAATCAGCTAGTACTTTATCATCATCAAGTATTGGAGAACATCCATCGTTTAATGATGATCAACAAATGCTTTATACAAGAGATGGTCGTGGTGATGCAAGATATTTAAATTTAACTTATATGGATAATTTAGAACAAGATCATACAAATTTTCAAACAAGTTTAGATTTGAAACCATGTTTACTTATTATACCTGATGATGAAACAATTCCATCATCGAATCGTACAACACGTTTTTATATTCAATATACAAATGAACATGATTCATCATCGAATAGTAATTTAAATTCTACAATGATGTCATCAAGTCAAAATACTGTTCGATCAACACAACCACAATTAATATCTCCATATCATTATCAAAATATTGCACTTCGAGAAGCACCTGTTTATTTATATAGACAAGGTGACAATAAAATTTATTATGAAAATCTTGCTCAATATTTATCTATTGAACAATCTTATTTATCATCACGTACTGTTCGTCGTATGTTAAAATTTTCATCTCGAAATGAATATTTTACTTATTTATGTAAGAAAATGTCAGCTATGTTTGCTGAACAACTTGTTCAAGAAAGTGAAAAATCATCTAGTAAAGATGAAAATATTAATCTTATTGGTAATAATAGTCAACAAAGATCAAGATCACAAGATACATTTTATAATATACAAAATGGTCCAACAATAAATATGTCTGAAGAACAACAACAAGATAATTATTATAATTTTTCATCAAAAATAATTGATCGAAGTCCATTATTATCAAGTCAAAATTAATAAGCTGATAATAAATTCATTTTCATCATATCACGATATTCAATGAAATATTTCTTATATCATAACATATACATACATATTAAATCATGAATAGAAAACTATAGTTGACTTGTTATTCATGATCTAATTTTAGACTTCATTTTTTCTTTTTGTTGTACTATACTTTCTATTTCTATTACTTTTTAATCTATACAAAATCATTCTTTGCTTTGCCTACGGATAGTATCATTCGAAAGAGAGAGAGAGAGGGAGGGAGAGAGACGCTTTTAGTTTATCTAAATATTCATTATAAATATAAATAATTTTAGGTCGATCACCACAATCAATTAATGGTACAGGTGTTCAAAGTTTAATAACATCAGAAAAGAATGTAACATTACCTCGAAGTGCTACTTTATCAGGACAGAGTATGTACAAAGATAATAAACATGTGTGCATTAGGAATGTCGACAGTGACAGCGATCACTACTCTTAAATCGAATGCATGATAAAACACAGCAGTAGTTCTAGATCTATTTGAAGAAAATAGCAGAATTCTACAAAAACATAACTAAACCTTTCTCGAACGAGAAAATCGAACTCAAGAATTTTCACAAACCTTCTATAAATTCGAACTCCTAGACTCCGAAACCTGTAGTTGTTTTTTAAAAATCCATTTATTTTCTTGAAATGCTCTCCACAACTGAAATCCATCCAAGAGTTGCCATTATGAAACTTCAGATCTTTCCAAACCAAGGTCCGAGTCTACAAAAACGTATTAGCCAAAATCATGCTCTTTCACTTGTTCATGTACACAGGGTAGTGAATATTCGTACAAAAAAAAACTCGGATTTCAGCCTGTGGAATCCGAGTTCACAAACCCGTAGATCTATAGCTCCCTAACCGCCATAGCTTTATCTAGGCATGCACCGAACCCGGGTACAGACGGGGAAACTCGGGCTCGGTATTTCCGGGATTCAGTCATTCCCGGTACCTAAAATGCTGGATTTAGTTATTTATTTGGATCATTGCTAGACACTCGGAGAAGCCATGAGCATGTCGGGAATACCGAGCTCGAACTTCCCAGAGTTCGGTCATACCTGGCTTCTATGGATGCCTAATGCAGACCAAAGTACATGAATCACTAAATCTAATGTTTTAGGTGCCGGGAATGACCGAACACCGGGAATACCGAACCTGGGTATGACCGAACCCGGGAAGTTCGGACTCGGTGCATGACTAGTTTTATCATGCATTCACTCTTATTCTATACGTACATGCGCTTATACCAGTGCAAAACTGTGCGTAAGATCAATGAAGCGAAGAACCATTATCGTTGCATTCCTACCATGAATTTGCATGTGCATGTATTTTAGGTAATGATGGAGAAAGTGAAAGTCGCACGAGTGTTTCACGTAGTGCTAGTGCTGCTGCAAGTATGAATGAATTTATATTCTACAGAATTTTATATTTGATTTATTGAAATTTTGTTCTTTTTGCTTTTAGAAGTGATTACAAGTAAATCGGATACAATAAAATCAACTACATCATCATCGGGACCTTCAAGTCGAGAGGTATGTTGTTGGTTATTTTTGATTTTGATATTTTTCAAAAGCAAAATATGATTTAAGAAGAAAATTTTAAGGAAAAAAAAGTATTTTTATCTTAATTTTCTTATCTACAGCATTCAGAAGTATCATCAGTGGTTCGAACACAGAGTTTGGTTAGTATATTAAAGGCAGCTATTGTTCTTGCTTTAAAAAGGCTGGGTATTTTCTTTATATTGATTGATATGGGCATCAATCGCATGATTCTTATTATAAAGAAAAAAGAATCACTGCTTTTTTGTTTTTTGTTTTTTTATGTTTTTTGGAGAATAAAAATTTAATTGTCTTATATTTTTAGGTCTCACCAAATCGTACAAATGGTAGTAAAGGTACAACAGAAGATGAAGTAAAAAAGGAGAAAAAATCGAAATTTCGAACACCATCATTTCTTCGAAAACGTAAAGAAAAAAAAGAAGCTGCAAGCAAAGATAAATCAGAAAAATGAACAATTGAATTTTTCTCTTTATTATCTAGTGTTGTCGTGTTGTTCTTTTGTTTGTTTGTTTTTTGTAGCAAGTTCTTTTTCGAAATATTCATTCGTATATAATACCCGTACCTTCTCTTTTTTTTTCTTCTTCTTTTGTGTGTAGCTCAGCTCTCGTTATGGTGTGCTTGTTTATTCTTATTGCATCTATTGATCTCCAATGAAAAATATAATTAATGAAAAAAAGCAAAACAAAAGAAGATTTAATTGAAAGAAAAGACAACCATGTTGATTTTTTTCTTTATTATTATTATTATTATTTTTTTTTTCTTGTTAGTTTCTTCTGTTTCCATCGAAGAGACTTTGATTTGTTTTCTTTTTATATTCATATTCTCTTCTTTTGTTCTTTCTTTTGTGTGGTTGTGAGTTGGACTCGTTCTGTTCTTTTGTTTTTTTCTCTTAATGCTAGCACGCGTGAGTTTATACGTACACACGAAAAATTCATTTTTTTTTTGCATAATAAACATATGTACACATCACGTAGAATACTATGAGAAAATATTGCAATTAATAAATAATGTTTGTAATAAATAGAAAAGGTCTTGGTAGAAAAATGGTGTCATAAAACATTGAATTCATTGATTATCAAACAAAATTATTGTCTAAAATCAATTTATGTGATGAGAAAAGGTCGTAAGAGGATTTATGCCGTTTTCGCTGATATTTTTTGTGCGTGTCTATATTTCATCAACGTAGTTATATGTCGCTGTATGCACGAAACACATTTCAAACTCGAAAACACGATAGAAGAGCATAGACAGATAGTAAAAAACAAATTTTCTTGATGAGATGTCAACATATCGGAAGAAAGAAAAATGCAATATCATTAGGTTTCTTCAGAAATCCTTTGTGTACATATTCTACCTTCACATTTTCACTTGCTGTACAGACACACGAAAGGAAGAAAAGAACCTGATGGTAACAATAATAAGAATTCATTTATTTTTTGTTACTTCGTTCGTTGCTAATATACTTTTCTGTTGATCATTCATGTTTGTTATAGTTGTATTTTCAGCAGAAATACAAAAGAACCGTGCAATCAACGTTACTTCCATTTTTTTTCCCGGAACAAACTTCTATGTTTGCACAAAAGACATCCAACATGCACTATAGTTATAATTCTTTTTTTGTTTTTGAATTAAGAAAAACAGCATCTATATCTTAAAAATATCAACGATACTTTTTATTATTTTATTAACTGTATATAAACATATATAATTCTCTTTTGCATGCATGCAAAGCAGAAATCGTTGATGAATTCATTTTTGGAATCACATCATACGCAAAAGATATTCACCATTCTTAATGAAAACATATTTCCTAATATGTTTTGCATTAAAATACATCTATTATAAACATTGTTCTAGAGATGCACAGTAAAATTGTGCAAATCTCAAATGTTAACAAGCAAAATTTGAATATTATTTCTTTATAGATTATAGGAATTGTTGAAAGGCTGTTCACTGAAGAAAATATGTGAGTGACGATATTCATTTTTCTAGACACACACATAGAGACGATGAAATTAGTTGTACTAAAACAAAAATTGATTTAGCTAATATTGTTTTGAATATTGAGTTAAATTCGAATTCGATCTGTTTAGTACATGAAACGACTAAGGTTCATCACTGTAATTATGAGATAAAACTTTCGCTTGCTTTCTATGCTCATACGAAAATTTCTTTTTTTGAACAATTTCACTCATTTTTGGATCTTATGATACATACTTTAATATTCGAACTGTACCCAACCAGCACAATGCATTAAGTGCCTCAATGACATGGATGACGAGAAAAATTTCTTCATCTCTTCAACGAATTACGACAAAAAGTTTGAGCTAAAGAATGGCCAAAGGTTCAAAGTATGTTCACATCAACATGCCATTCATCAAGGACGTTCACAAACATAACAGAAAATTTGAGCAACATGAGTTCGTTATTTGGTAACTCATGTAAAATTTTTGGGAAAAATAGCCACTTTTAAGCAATTTTGTCATCATTGTATTATTGTTACTCAAATACGGATATGTGAACCTTGTTAGGCGACACTAGCACCTTATAGTATCGATCACTTGCCTATGTGTGTCGTTTCCAACAGTATTGTTTCAATATTGACATCTTCTCGGTGCTTTATTTATAGTACTATTGAGAAATTGAATTTAGTTTTTTCTTAGTTGAAAATAGAACAGGAACTTTATACTTAAGTCTCTTACTTTTTTCAGTTTGATCGGATATGACAATGAATATTCAAATCACTTGACTAATTTCTCGTATACAAAAGGATAAAAAATTGAGCTCTGATCATCGGTATCTAAGAATATTGACATACTAAGGCCGGTATTAATCACCAGTCGATCTAGAAATGTAACAATTGCTGAATAAAAAGCTTTTAATAGAAAACTTTTATTCGAACTACTCGCCTTGGTCTAATTTTGTTTCACATCAATGATTGATACATTGGTATTCATAGTATAATATCCAAACAAAGTCCTAATGAGTATTAGATAGTATAGCAAACTACTTTATGTGATACAGATTCAGTAATTTGTTACATAAATATGCATGTGGTTACACCAGTCTCAATCCTTGTCATTGATAGTGAAATAACGGAAGATAATATTTTGGATCTGTGCACTTCACTTTTTCAAGGTATTTTCCAATCTTGTCAGATCATTTGTCATATGTTTTCATGAGTGTGGGTTCAACAGCAAATGTTAGAAGCAATAGAATATATGTCAAGATTATCAAGGACACACCTGTAAGACAAAAGGAAACGTGAACTGACTATTTTTGATTGTGGCCTTAACTTAATGAAGCTTGTCAATAATTGTTTTAGGTTTATCTTAATAATAGAATTTATATAAGATGCATGCAAACATAATGAAACGAAACAGTGATTTTACTCTTCCTTCAGATTAAAATGTTTCATGAGGAAGACAAGTAGTATGAAAGAGCTGCCATGAAATGAGAATAGAAATGTAATTCATTGAAGGATGAATAGCAATACTGGAGTTAACAGTGCAACATGTGGATATAACATTTCGAGAATATTACTTCCTATGTCATTAAAATAGCGATATTTTAGCCAATTTTTCAACTACTGTAAATAAACCATCGATTAATCAGAATATTTCGAGATCAATAACACAGTAAGTATTTGTTGACAAAATAATTGATGTTCTTTTTTTTTTGATTTAGATTAATAGTAATGGTATGTCAGGACTATCAAAATTAAGGTCAACATATGAAACAATAGCATGAGATCGAATCTTTCACAAATAAACGTTTTTTTTTTTCAGAAAAATGTGGCACATTTTTTCATTTTTTTCTAATCGCACATTCTGAAATTCTCGAGCATGTGAAAGTGCAGTGTTTACTTTTTCATCATTATGTAATTCTTTGAAGAGCTTTATTGTAGTCAGTGGCTTTTTTCCTGTTTGAAAGAGGCATGTCAAGAGGTGAGGCATGACAGAGTCCTTTTTCTGAATTAAGCTTTCTTACTATTATGTTAAACAGTACTTTTATAACTAGAGTACCATCTTTTTGAGAGTTGCCCGAGACGTTAAACTTTTCATAGCTGACGATGTATAATCCTTTCTGATTTCCAATAGTTATATGCGTGAATAAAATAGTACAAAAACTTCTATCTGTGTATTTTCTAAATCTTCGTTCTCGAAATAACTACATCAGAAAATGATAACTTTCGATAAATATGTTCGGTAAATAAAACAAAATTCCTAAAAGATTACATAAATGCAGGGCAAAGCGATTTCAATTTTCGCCAACGGAATTTCAATTAATATAAGAACGAAAAAACATTTTCACCTAGAGTCTATCGTATCCTATCGAAAGTTTTCATTATACGTCAAAATTACCGTTTTACAACACTTTACTGACAAAGTACACCTTTTTGTTTCAGCAAAAAACACACAAAGTATGGAGTCTGAATGCGTACGCAACCGACTACAGCATTAACAACAATTGCACACTCTATCATGCAAAAGTTATTATAAAAGAATCAAACTGTTACTCTCTGTTTGAGTTCATACATAGAACTCATAGTTAAGCTGAAAACTCCAAAAATAAGTTCTTATATTTAGGCCTTTCTTCTGAATTTCTGGTCATTCAAATGCAACAAAAAATTTTCTTAGGATATGAAGAACCTAACAGAATGGGCTATTTTGTTAGGTTTTCTGCGAAAATTATGTTTCTCATCAATATATTATCTCAGAAGAGAAGCATCTGTTTAAGCTAAATCTTTCAGGAATCAGTACCATGAGATTTAATATTGCGCGGGGGGGGGGGGGGGGGGGGAGTAGTGAAGTAAAAAAAACAAAAACTAAAAAAGAAAAAGGAATAAAAAAAAACCCTTTTAGGGTTTTTATCAAAAATATGAATACTAATTTAA